CTTTTCTTTAAAGTAACAAATTTGAAGTCACTCTTTTTTTGAAGGAAAATTTGTAACAATAATTATAAATTTCATGTTGACACTCCTTAAGTTTTCCTTTTAATTACAAATAAAAATCCTTGAATAATTATAACCAAAGCAGGATAATTTTAGTCTAATTATATTAATAACTATTGTTAAAAATGTGATTAAATAAATAATTCTACCTAGTGAGCAAACTATTAAATTGCTAATTTTTCATTTTTCTTTTGTTTCTGGGCCATACTGAGCAGTGCTCAAGGCATACTCAAGGCTCTGTGATAGGGATCACTCTTGGCGGGAATTGGGGGCCCATATGGAGTGCCAGAGATTGAATCTGGGTCAGTCAAGTGCAAGGAAAGCATAAATTGGCTTTCTCTTTTATTTTTTTGAAAAGAAAAGTAATATAAAACCATTCTGTTTCAAAATCAGATGTAATTCTTTGATTAATTATACCCCTCTATTTTTGTAATTTAAATGCATTAAGAATAGACCACCCTCTTCCTCCAAAGTATTACTTCTAGAGATATCTGCATGTTAAATGTGGAAAAGAAAATTACTCTATCCAGTATCTAAGGTTAGAAAAGGCACAATTTTTGTTTTTATTTTTGGTTCAGGGGATTGAATCCACATAAGGCAAGCTCTCTTCACTTAGCAATATTCCTGGTACTCTAGAAAACTGTTTTTTTGTTTGTTTTGCTTTTGGACAAGAAATCACCATTAGTCAAATTACACAAGCATCCACTAGGTGATAACATTTTTCGCACAGCTGAGAAAACTAGCTTCTTACAAAACTATGTTAAATAGTCCTTCCAAAATAATCCAGCATGAGAATTAAGGCTGTACCTCCCTCTCCCCAGGTCAAAATTCAAATTACTGGTAGGTGTGTTAAGAAAGTAAATAATTCCAGGCAGAGATTCTTCCTGACCCACACAAGGTTGAGACATCTGGGGCATCCCTGGAAGTACGGCGGGTGAGCCCTATGCCTGCACAAACAAAGCCCTGAAGCCAAAACCCCCACAATTGCTGCCATGCTCCTGGCCAGACTCCACTGCTCAGACAAGCCTCATACAGAAATTAGTATGTTCAAAAACTTAGGTATGCAGGTTCTGTGACCAGAATCTCCAGGCTTTCACAAAGTACATCTCCCTGTACTTCCTTCCGGAAGCCCCCGCACTCATGCCCATGAACTGCCTCTGGTGACAAGTAAGCACATTCACTGGCCATGATCCAGAGACTCAAAAATAAATTTCAAAAGAAATCCAAGGGGAAAAAAAAGTAAGCAATAATTCCTGCATAAGAAAGAAGCCATTAAATAAAAGTCAACATGGAATGAACTACCTGATAATTTTATAGTATTATTTTTGTCTGAAAAAACAGCAAAAAGCAAAAAGTTAAAAAACAACAATATTTGGGATTAAAATCTTCATAAGGGTAAGACCTAAGTTCAAAGGTGTTTCATATGTTATTTTATAAGTATTAACTTTTTAGTTAAGCTGAAACTATATGGTAGCAATATATTCAACAAGAAGAGTTAACATTTACTCATACTATCACAGAGAAAATACTAATATATATTTAAGATGAGTTGCACTATTAAATCATCTTGGTGATGCTTAGTAACATAAAATATTTTCATCTCTTAAGACCCCTAATGTAATGTTTAATCAACTATTTTCAGAAAAAAATAGGGTCCACATTTCACTGCATAACTGCCATACATTTTAACTCAAATTATTTTTAAAAAAGTGGCGTGTAACCATTAAGTGAAACTTAAAAAAAAAAAATCTGTGCTGGCATTACTGTTACGCAGTGGTGACAAATACATGATGAAACACAGCATGCTTTTCAAACCATTTTAACCTTTGGATATATGAGAAATTTTACTATCTGGTATACTAAAAAATTCACTTTTAAGATTATTGAATAAACATAAGAAATCATATTGAAAATTTAAATTACCATTAAGTACATGAATTGTCTCTAATTTCACAAAATTTACAAAGAAACTTCTAACAAGACAGAAAGTAAAAAGGGGGAAAAAAGTCTAATACTGGGCCCGCTCGAGCAAATTAAGAAAATAGTAACTAAAAAATTACTTAAGGGCTAGGGAAAGGGCTCAGAGGGCCAGAGCACATGGGGAAGCCTAAGAGCTGACACTGTATTGTTCCCTCAAACACCTCAGGAAGCAATTCCTGACCATTCCCTAAAGTTATGAGCAAGTCCAGTAACGTCTCCATTGTGCGACTTGTTTTTACTGTGTTTGGCATATTGAATATGTCACGGGTAGCTTGCCAGGCTTTGCCATATGGGCAAGACACTCTCGGTACCTTGACAGGCTCTCTGAGAGGAGTGGAGGAATCGAACCCGGCCGGCTCTGCCAAGCTGGCCGCGCACAAGGAAAATGCCCTACTGCTATGGTATTGCTCCAGTTCTCTATGTATATTCAGTTATTAGAATGGAAACCTTGTCACTGTCACTGTCCTCCCGTTGTTCATCGATTTGTTCGAGTGGGTCCAGTAATGTCTCCATTGGAGACTTTGTTGTTACTGTGTTTGGCATATCGAATACATCACAGGTAGCTTGCCAGGCTCTTAAGCTATGATAAATATCCCACTGGTCAAAACAAAATAGTTAAGCTTTTTTCTAAATTCAAGTTATTCTTTATGTATGATATGTCAAAATAAACTAAGTAGTGGTTTCTCAAAAAAAAAAAACTAAACCATTTAACAGACAAAGGTTATTGGCATCATTTCATATGCCCTCTTGTGATAAATTTTCAGCATAAGGGCTAAAATTAAAATTAAAAAAAAATTAAAAAAAATTTAAAAATCATAGCTGCTTTTAGAAAATAAAATCAAAGTACTAACTCTCCTACGTCTGAGTTAAAAGTGGAAAATATAATCCTCATTTTTCCAAGTTAAAGATCGGACACTTTTAAAAGGTTTCAATCAAGATACGAATATGTGAGGCTGGAGCGACAGCACAGCGAGTAGGGCATTTGCCTTGCACATGGCTGACCGGGGTTCAACTCCCAGCATCCCATATGGTCCCCCAGGCACCGCCAGGAGTGATTCCTGAGTGTAGAGCCAGGAGTAACTCCTAAGCATCGCTGGGTGTGACCCAAAGAGAAAAAAAAAATATGAATATGCAATAATATCCATAGCTAAAAACACTTGATGAAATTTCTATCTAAAATCATTCTTAATGATTCTTACCACAATATATATATCATTCTAGAAATTGTACTCTCATCAAGGCCATGTTTTGCTGAAATGGAACATGTGAAAAGTGAAATGTATTAAAAGAAAGGGCCTAATGTTAGAACATTAAAGCTTTTTCTTTACTGACAAAAATTTTTATGTCTATTAAAATACTCTTAGTCCTTATGAAAAAGCACCAACAGAGGTTTTTTGTAGTAGAAAATTAAAGCAAATCACCCTCAAGTTATATCAAACTTCTAGAACCAAATTTATTGATAGTGCACAGAAATATTATATATATAAAAAATCTGACTTGGTAACGCAAAGCTACTTTTCTGATACTAACATAATCACCATTTGGATAAAACAGTTTTCAGAAATTGTGTTAAAGATAGTTTTCAATGATCTGGTGAGATAGTCCAATACATATCCAATCATTTTACAACTTGTTTATTTCTATCTCTGAAAGTTCAGCACCAGCTGTATTTGCTATTTAAGTATTAAGACAATACATTTAGGCTTGCTCTTTTAGATAAGTCCCTTGTGCCCTTTTCAGAAAAATTAAACTTTTCTGAAGTTTAACTGTTCATAGGTTTGTAAAGAAGTGACTATATCATACCTGTTTCATCACATGTAATTTAGTGATGAAACACTAAACCAGAAATTAGAAATTAAATAATCACATATCCATGAATTTCCACAAGACTGCCTATTCCAATAGTTATGACAGCCATAAACAAACTGCAATGGTTAAATTAAGAGATAACTGGATTGATGACAGTGTCAAAAAGGATTTAAATAGAATTTTGGATGCAAACAGTCCTATATATTTTTTCTCAGATAAAAAGATGTAAAATAATGTCTCTAACCAATCCATACTCTTTGGAGGGTCCCTCTCAGCATAAAAGATTTGGCATTAAGTTTGAAGAATATAAAAAATTGAAAATTTATAACTAAAAATAAAAAATCTGCAAAATTCTGCAAATAATTATATAAAAAATAAAAAGAACAACTCAAATTACAAAACTTGTATATCAATATTTTAGCTGTTTGGGGGAAATAAGTTTTACCTTCAAAGAGAATAAAATGTCCATTCTAAATTTAGACAGTGACCATGATATTTTGAAAAAGAAAAAAAAAACCACACTTCTCATTACTTCAGTATCAATCAATGATATGAATAATTAATAAGTCAGGCTGGAAGAGGATACGAACCAGAGCAAGAAGAAAAGGGAATGCCCATGGATAGAAAAGAGGGAGAAATGAGGCAGTGACCTCATACTATCAACTAGAAGATTTTTAAGGAAAAGGAAAAGCTGTTAACATATGTACACAAAAAATTCTCATAAAATAATTTTTTAAAAATTCAAATTAAAAAATATTTTGATTTTTTAAGTTACAGGATTGTGACTACAAAATAGCAATTCTCTAATATTCCCACTAATATCCAAAACAAACAAATAAAAAAAAAACCAAGAGATTTTACTGAATATGTAGAGATCTCAACCCTTTCCCTTCTTAGACCCTACATTTTACTGTTTGGAACTATTTTTTCCATAAGTGCTATTTGATCATCTACTATCTAAAAATCAGTCACATGCTTATAAACTGAGGAACATGAAAATACTCTAGCAGCATTAGAATGAGAAAAATATATATACTTAGCTCTGCTTCCATGAAATAAACTCTCTAAAATATGTTTTGACATGTAAGACATTACTCTTCTTGCGTTACTGATGAGCACAAAATACATATTTTCACTTCGTCTGAAAGACCTACCTGAATAGCTGAGTTCATGAAACAGGTATTTCCCAAGTTACTTAGGCCACAGAGGCCTGGCTGTTCATTATTTCTTCCAGGTTCTGAATAATCATAGTTCTTATAAGCAGTATATGATGGAAGACAATAATTTGAGTTTTTCACACTAGAAGAAAACAAAAACATATTTTTCATAATGCAGCCAATACAAAATACAGAGCAAACCTATATGAGATACATAGTTTAATCACCGAATTTTACAAATAAAGCATTTAACTCAGGAACTTTTAAAGACATGAACTTAAATAAAAATCACCCCTTAAATGAATACACTCTTCATCCAATCAACAAATTCACATCAACATATACCACACCATCCAATACAAACCACTATTATATCTCTCTACCCTTGATTAATTGGAGCAGCTTCACAACTTGCTCCATTCTTCATTGTTCCATCAAATTTAAAACATTTGGATTTTAAACACCACCCACAACAATAAATCATCTCATTTATGTCCCTTTTATATCCTGCTACTGTAACAGAGTAAGAACAGTAGGAACAGGAAGAGTTGTGCATTAGTTACAGGTGAGAGCAGATTATTTCCATAGTCTCTGTGACATCACCTTTCTAATGCACCGAAGATTCTATTTAATTCTATTTATAGCTTCTATACTAGGTCAGCAAAATCTAAATATTTAAAAAAAAGACAGGTGTTCAGGAATACAAAAATGAAATGATTCTAAGAAAATACATTCCAATAATTATTTGGCTTTTCTTTATGTTCATTCAAATAATGTAGTTTGTTTCATTAAGTAAATATAATCTCAGGATTGTTTTTACTATCAACATAGTAAATATTGACCTTAAAAACTATATAATAATCTTGATTTTAGAGAATCCAGGCATAGTTAGAAATAACTAATAAAACTCATTATATTAAATGATGCTTCATTCTTTTTACATGTAATAAAAAATATTTTGTGGAAAAGGATGGATCCTCAATTTTTAATAGACTACCTTATAAAATATTTATGATGGCTACTTTGGATATAATTCAAAAGTATACTTTCGATCTTTTTTTAAAAAATTCATTAGACTCAACCTGAGTTAAGAATCAAAAGGTCATTTAGTAAAAGCAAATGAGAACATAAGCAGAAGAAAAATAGTACAACAGATTAAACAGGATGAACTGTAATGGATAATCTCAATTAGCTACACTTTATTCCTGGTATTTATATTTTTAATAAATTCTAAGGTATAATTTCAAATTACTTTAAAATGCGGTCTACACATTTTTTTGGGCTTTTGGCCTTTTGGGTCACACCTGGCGATGCTCAGGGGTTCCTCCTGGCTCTGCTCGCAGGAATTACTCCTGGTGGTGCTCGGGGGACCATATGGGATGCTGGGAATCGAACTTGGGTCAGCTGCATGCAAGGCAAACGCCCTACCCACTGTGCTATTGCTTCAGCCCCAACACACTTCTTTATCATAAAAAAAATTAAGTGAACTATACTGTTTGTTCGTAAAACCCTTTACACACACACACACACACACACACACACACACACACCCCAAGCTATAATTTAGGTAAAACACATAAAACACATCAACCCAAACTTACACACGTAATTCTAGCCTGTTAATATTTTTGCATTAAAAAGATAACAGCCCTCCCACCACAAGCAAAAAGACAAATTCCCAGATCAAAGAAAAATCTCAGCGTTCGGAAAAATCACTTTGATCAATTCAAATTTAGAACTGCGTACTTGGACTTGCAGGTATTTACTTCTTTTAAATCAAAAGAAGAAAGCATATGGAAAAAATTCAAGTAACTTTTAGTTTTGCAGATCATTAGCTTTCTGATTCATATTTTATTCTATAATCCCAGTGACTAATGAGGAACACGGTACCAATCCAATACATGATTCAATGACTGGATTTTGTGACTATAATTTTGCTGATGTATAAAAAAAGCTGAATAGTTGTATTTTATTTCTCTAAGTGCTGTAACTCAAGGTCAGCTACATATTATAAAAATGCAAGCCCTATATGTTTTATCTATTATAGAAAAGCATATCGCAAAAAATTATAAAAACTGAGCACAGTATAAAAGTACGTCAAATTCATGTTCATGCCTAATCACACACATACACACAAATGCAAGTGAAAGACTAAAAGCACATTTACATGTTCATTCCATAAGTATAAATTGAGATATCTGCCTCTCCCCACACGTAACACAAATGGATGCTGGAAGCTCTATTCTTCTTTGTGGCAACAGGATGGAATTTGCTGGGATAGGGATTCCTATTTACTGAGAAATGAACAAAAAACTTATTTGCAAAAGCAGTTTTAAAATCTGAACCCTTAAAGGATATCTACATTTTACTTTAAGTGACAGGATAAGCATAAATCTTGTCCAAAGATTGAGATAGTGTAGCTTCTCAATGATAATAACGATGAAAATTGACAGAAGTACTTCATTACTACGTTGGTGACTTACAATCTATATTTTATGTGCTCTTTAAATAAAATATTAAAGTCTCATAAAAAATATAAGTACCAGCAGTTCATTAAACACTGAAAATTATGTGGAAACCCAGGACTTGCAAGTTTAATAATCATCCAAGAAAATTATTATTTCCCTCCCGAAAAATATTAGGCTAATTCTTATCCTAAAAAAATTATGCTACTTTGTAAAAATAGCTTACCAATAGTCTTATAAGGGACTTTAATGCTATGTGAGACTAGTTCAGTATTTCATCTCTATCTTAAATGAAATACATTTTAAAAAATGCAAGATTTTTTTGTGAATTTGAGTCATAAATAATCTGTTTATAAAGATTTGGGATTGACTTTTCAAACAGTACTGATATTTGACATTACAAACATGTAAAAAACCCTAACTATAATTATGTTCAACTTACACCTAATAAAATAATGTTTTATTATGAAAAAATGCTAAGTAACTTTTCTTTTTTTTGGCTTTTCTGGGTCACACCCAGCAGTGCACAGGAGTTACTCCTGGTTCATATACTCAGGAATCCCTCCTGCAGTGCTCAGGGGACCATATGGGATGCTGGGAATTGAACCTGGGTCGGTCGTGTGCAAGGCAAATGCGCTACCCACTGTGCTATTGCTCCAGCCCCTAAGTAACTTTTCAAGAGCTAGATGGCTAGCTAGCTCTGGGGATCTCCAAAATCAATTTCAAGGCTTAATCTTATAGGGAGTCACTTCAATCAAATGAAAGACCTTTGAATTAGCAGGAAAAGAGAAATGTGTTCTGATGTGAAACGTCAAGTGGAAACAAAGATTAAAGATTTTTAAAAGGCAGTAGTATCAGAGGCCAGAGCGATACTATAGTGGCTAAGTTGCCTGTCTTGCAAAAGGGGCCAACCCAGGTTTGATCCCTGGCATCACACATATTCACTTGGGCACTGCCAGGAGTGATCGCTCAGTGCAAAGCCAGGACTAAGCCTTGAAGCCCTGAGCACCATTGTGGGTATAGTCATTTCCCCCAAACCCCGAAAAGGGAGTATTAAGCAAGTGTAGCAGGAATGAAAATTCGGAGAATAGAAAAAAATTTGGTATATATTTAAGTTTACCTTTTTTGCATCAGGGCAAACCAAATACTGTTAAGAGCATGTTAAATTACTAGAAGGAATAACTAATATTCCAGCAACTAATTTTAAAAAATATTAATCTTAATTAGAATATTAGCACTGTAGCACTGTCCTCCCATTTTTCATCACTTTGCTCGAGCGGGCAACGACTCCATTGTGAGACTTGTTACTGTTTTTGGCATATCAAATACGCCCTGGGGAGCTTGCCAGTTTCTGCCGTGCGGGAACTGGAATATTATACTTCATTATATCATGACCATTATTTAATTTTTTAATTTTGTTTTGGGGTCACAGCTGGTAATGGTTAGGGGATACTCTTGACTCTACTCAGAAATTACTTGTGGCAGTACTCAGGGGACCATATGGGATAATGCCGAGGATAGAACCCAGGATGGTCATGTGCAAGGCAAGTACCTTAGCTGCTGTACTATTCCTCCAGCCCCCATTACTTTTATTTTTAGACCACTGTGTACACTGGGTTACACCATACTATTGTCAGGGCTTACTTCTGGAAATGTGTTCAGGAATTACTCTTGGCAGTGCCAAAGGACCATAAACAGTGTCGGGTATTGAAACAAGGTCAGCCTCCTGCAAGACAAGTGCCTTACTCACACTGTATCATCTCTCTGGTCCTATAAGTCATTATTTTTAGAAGTAAAAGCTTTACCTACCAGTAATATGCTCACAAAAGACTGCTCATCTTGAATTTCAAATACTTTTCAGGTAAATTCTATTAGACATAGTGGTTTTAATATGTAACTGATAATTATCTCAGTTTAAAAACGATACTTAATCTAGACTGTCCTTAAATAAAAGAAACTGCAATTTCGTGTGAAGGTGTTAACTATTTCCTCAAATGAATGAATGATCAAGAAGTGAACGTGTGATATAGTTCAGATAGTTTTGTTTCTTGGGCCACACTCGGCAATGCTCAGGGGTGTTACTTCTGGTTCTGTGCTCAGGAATTATTCCTGGAAGTGCTCAGGGGACCCTAGAGGATACCAGGGAATGAACCCAGGGAATGAACCCAGGTCAGCTGCATGCAAATCTCTCCAACCCCCAAGTTTAGGTGGTTCTTAATAACTAATTCAAGTTTTTTAAAGCCAGTTTCTTTCTTTTTAGATTTTGCAGGGATTCTTCCCAACTAGTGCCCAGGTGTCCCACTGGCAGGAAGTGGCTAATGCAAAGGCCTGAGGAAGCAATGTTGCTCGGGTCCTTGTGGTGCTGGGGATTATCTGTGGAGCCCTGGCTGTCCATGTCCATTTTATAAATGTTTAATATCAAATTAATGGACAGAATTACTTTTGATATTTTCTTAAGCATGGAGGTAACTCAGTAAGGCATTTGTTTTTAAAATTCCCTAATTTGAAAGAATGATTTACTACCTAAAATAAACAAATATATAAAATAATATAGGGGGCCAGAAAGATAGTATAGCAAATAGGGCGCTTGTCTTGCATGCAGCCAGTCTGGATTCAATCCTTAGCACCCCATATGGTCCCCTGGGTGCTGCTAGGAGGGATCCCTGAGCACAGAACCAGTAGTAAACCCTGAGACTGTCAGGTGTGGCCCAAAAACTGAAAAAAAAAAAAAATAAAAAAAGGACAAATATAAATGGATAAAATATAAATAGCAGGCTACATGCTACATATACTAAATAATTTGAGTCTGGGAAAAATATAGTTGATGTTATAGTATATAATATAGCCTATTATATACAATATTAATCTCTTCAAGAAATAACTACAAATATACATCTAAGAATTGCATTTTTATTATAGTAAATGTGGAAGTCATATGTAATAAGTAGAAATAGCTTATCTCCTACAGAAAAGTTACTTTTGCTAGTATATTTTAACCATGCATATAATATGCAAACCAAATTATAGTAGAATGTTTTCATTTGTTTGTGGATACAATTGTGAAATTGACACAACTGCAGTATAGTGTTTGCAGACTGTAGGTATGTCACCTTCAATATTTCACCATTGTACCGTGACTGCTAAAACTCTAGCTACTCGAATGTAATTTGTTTTGTTCTGTTTTGAGGGGGCACCCTGGAAGTATTTAGGGCTTACTCCTGCTCCTGTGCTCAGAGATCACTCCTAGTGGGGGATAGAGGACCATCTCAAGTGCTGGATAGAACTCAGGTTGCCATGAGCAAGACACTTTACCCACTGTACTCTCTCTGGCTCCCAACAGAATCACTACAGGAATAGATAACATTGCTTAATTTTCCCCACTGACATGGAGATAAGGGAAGTTGACAGTTTAATCACGGTAGTAACTGACAGAAATTTAATCAGAAATTAATAAGAACATTAAAAAAATTTAAATTCTTTTATTTTTACCGCCCTGTCATATTGGCCCTTTTTACTCTCTTAGAAAACCTTGAATTTTTTGAGTGGAGTGGGATGGCCGATGTCCATCTGTGCAGAGAGGTTACTCCTGGCTCTGCCTACAGGAATCAATCCTTGCAGGCTCGGGGGACAATACAGTGTGTCTGGGATCAAACCTGGGTTGGCCGCATGCAAAGTAAGTGCCCTAAACACTGTACTATGCTCTAGCCCCTGAAAATCCAAATTTCTGAAGTTGGTAATTTAAGAATATTTATCCTTTGTCATTTGTATCAAGTATTTTTCCCCCCATTTAGTTGCTCTTTAATTGTAAGTCTGACAATTTTCTTGGATATAAAGTTGTCAAGAGAAATGCTCTATAAGCAACCTAATTGTACCAGTTTTTCCTGAGTCACCTAAAAATTCTCAGTATTTCATTTTCTGAAAGTATAAACTTCAGGACTAGTCTATCACCTTTCTAAAAGGTTGTGATACTTAGTTTTCCTTCACTACATTCTTTTTTTTGTCTGGGGGCCATAACCAGCTGTGGACAGGCTTAACAGCTCTGTGCTCAGGGAACACTCTAGGCTTAGGGGACCATATGGAGTGAGGGAGATCAAACCTGCGTCAGCTGAGCGCAAAGCAAGCACCCTACTCACTGTACTGTTCCAGACCTGGAAAATTATTTCTTTAGATGTATGTTAAAATCATGTTGTCTAGCTCCCTCTCAAATTAAAACTTTAAAGTGCAAGTAAACTATAAATTTAACTAATGGCATCATATTAAGGATTTTTTTGCATATAATATTATTGTTATTATTTTAGCTTATGCTTTTACTGACAGGTGAAATTTATGAATTGGATATGTAGTATAATTATTTAAACTACAGAGTCAAATACATAAATTACAATGTATGTACTCAAAAATAAAAGTGCAGTTATTCTCATAATTTAACTGGACTAATTATAAATAATAAACATTTTATTAATTAATGAAAGTTAAAATTTTTTTCTATAATACAAAAAATGAATTTTAAAGTAATATACTTATTTTAGCATAGTGGTAGGGCGTTTGCCTTGCACGCAGCCAACATGGCCAACCCGAGTTCGATTCCTCCGCCCCTCTCGGAGAGCCTGGCAAGCTCCCGAGAGTATCTCGCCCGCATGGTAAAGCCTGGCGAGCTCCCCGTGACGTATTCAGTATGCCAAACACAGTAACATCAAGTCTCACAATGGAGACGTTACTGGGCCCGCTCGAGCAAATCAATGAACAACGGGAAGACTGTGACTGTGACTCTTTTTTCTTCCTTTCTCTATTTTCCCCGTTAGTTTCTGAGCCACACTCAGTGATGTTCAATGCTTATTTGTAGCTTGGCACTCAGTGATCACTCTTGGCAGTGCTCAGGTGATGATACAGAGTGCTGGGGATTGAACCTGTGCAAGGCAAGAGCCCTGCCCAATGTACTGTCTCTCTGGCCTGATTTTCAACCTTTTTCTTACAGCATGGTAGCACACACTTTCATGCAACTTCTTTTTTAAGTGTGGTAGGTGTGAGGAGGAGGGGTGGTTTGAGTGACCAGTAATACTCAGGGCTTCTCAGCTCTGTGCGCATGGAATCAAGCCCGGAGGTGTTTGGGGAACCATATGCAGTGCTAGGGATTGACCCAGAGTCTACTCTGAGCAAAGCAAGCATCTTAAGCCCAGGGTAAGATCTCTCTGGCCCACATATAACTTTTCTAAATTTTAACATTCCTAATTAATGATGGGTCAAGGGAACTATTTCTCTGATGCTCTCAAAGAAAAATGATTGCTCTTATAACATAAAAAAAAAATTTTTTTCCCCTGAGTTTTTTGGGTCATAGCTGGAGATACTCGGGTTATTCCTGGCTCTGCATTCAAGAATTACTCCTGGCAGTGCCTGAAAGATCAGGTTGAACCCGGGTCGGTTGTGTGCAAGGCTATACTATTGCTCCGGCCCCGACATAAAAATTTGTGCATGTTTTCTAGTTAAGAATCACTAATACTTTTTAGAACTATGTTATATCAGTGATAACATGTCTAGTTCTAAAGTGGTTTCTGAAATGTATACTCTCCTTAGAAACTGAGTTCTAACAGATAAAAGTATATTTTAATAGTGTGTAGAAGTAAAAATTCTGGAAAAGCTTTTTCTTCTTTTAGCACTCTATTATAATATATGTGTGAAATCAAGAAGTCTATAGCTATACTTCTTGTGAAGTTATTCTTAGAAGAAATGATCAGGAATTTAAACAAAAATCAATTTTAATGCATTAAGGCTTTTATTCTAAACTTTAGATACAAGAGATTTTTTTGTAACCACAATAGGGCGATCATTAAACAAAGAGTTTTTAAGATTCAGTGCTTACTTTCTGTTGTTGATGTTGTTATAATTATTTGATAGAGATGAAGGAGATATCTTTGGTAAAGTTGAAAAATTGGATGCACCTGGGGACCTTCAAAAATATGAAAATGTTAAATTAGATAAAAATGCTGAATTTTAAAATTATGAAAAAAAAGAAAAGAAACTAACAGATGACAATGTATGGAGAAGATGAATGGAGAACAGATTTAGGAATAAAACCACTATATATCTTCGATTTTTGAATTTTTAATGTTTTCTTCATATAAAAATTTACAAAAGGGAACTATTTTTCAAAAAAGTACCAAATTAAATATACAGTTTGATATTATTTCTGTAAGTCTACTAAATCAGATTTACCTTTTTCTGAGTTCAGGTAACCATCATTAACATTTGCAATCAATAATTTCCTCAATCAATGGGATTAAAATAATTTTTAAGGAAACTTGTGAAAGAAATTATCTTTGTGTCTCAGGTATAACATAGTATTATAATTACACACAGCAATGACACAAATACTAGAGAATTTATTAATTCTTAAAAATGGCATTCTAGTGGTTACCAGAATGAGAGGAATCAAAGAGAAGGTAAACTGGGACAAAGAGGGCACACATGTTGTTTTCAGTGATGCATACATGACACTTAAATATGATAATGACTGTTATTTCAATTAAAAGTAACCTAGTGAAAAATGTGAAGATAAAGAAACAGAATAACATAAAAGAATTCCAAACATGATCCCCAGAAGGAATAGAAAAACAAAAGAATTCCAAATATGATCACCAGAAGAAAATTTTAGCTAAAGTTATCTTTGGGGGGAAAAAAGACATAAATCTGACAAATATTGGGTATCTAATTCAAAATCTTTTTCAGAAATCTCAATTACAAACAATTTTAAACAATGAACAACACACTTTAAAGGCATTATAATCAACAAGTCCATTAAACAAGAACGACTGCTTTATAGTAAAGATATTTAAAAGATGTAATTCTGAATTTTAAACTTTGTAAATAATTTTAATTTACTAGTGTATGAGGGGCAGAAACTTAATTTTTTTTGGGGGGGGGGCCACACCTGGCAATGCTCAGGGGTTACTCCTGGCTCTGCACTCAGGAATCATTCCTGGAGGTGCTTGGGGGACCATATGGGATGCTGGGAATCAAATCCGGGTCGGCCGCATGCAAGGCAAACGCCCTCCCCGCTGTGCTATTGCCCCAGCCCCTATTTTCTTCATTTTAAAGGTTGAATTTGATGATACAGGATGTACATAAGTAGATTAAGTGCTACTTGCATTTAAGCGCCTTTCTGAAAGACTATTATAAAATTCTATTTTATTTTGCTAAGCTCAAAATGTAAAGTATAATCAACCGAGTTTTTATATAAAATACTGTAGAAAAACTATTTTAAAAAAGTAATTCTATTTTGTGGGGTGGAAGAAGTTTCTAAGTCACATGTAGCTGTGCTCATGGATTATTTCCTGGCTCGGTGTTCAATAGTGATCCCCACAGTGTCAAGGGGACCAAAGGCTACCAGTGCTGGGGATCACACTAAGATTGTAGTTAAAGGGGTTACTTGCAAGGCAAGGACCCCCGGCTCTGTACTGTCTATCCCCTGGTTCCTTAAATGTAATTTGCAATCCAAATATTTTAAGGCACTCATGTTAAAAGTCACAAAAATATAAAAGCACTAGGTGACTTTTTGCCTTCACAATTTAAGGGTTTAATTTCATATCCAGTTTTTATTACTGGATACCTCAATCTCTAATTTAGACTTTTTCCCCTAAACTGTTATATTACCTTGAATTTTATTTAGCAGAAATTACAGGAATACAGATTCATTACTTTCTTCAATAAAGTAACTGAAGCATGCACACATGCGCGTGAACACACACACTCACACACACACATATCCTACTTGTAGCCCTTTTTATTATTCTCTAACAACTGTTCCCCAGGGATAGTTTTGGAAGTTTCTATGAAATAAATTAAACATTAGATATTTATTAAATTTATGTCTTGGTGAGTATTAGAACTAAAAACTCACAGTTCCCAATCACAATCTAGTGGAAGAAAAATGATATATAAGCAAAATAACTACAAAATGGTTTAAGTCATAACAAATTTAAAAAAAAATAATGAAACAAAATTGTGAATAGTACCATGTGGTGACTGGAGCATGATATGAAGAGATGGAAAGGTCGGTAGGAGTAGGTATGAGAAAATCCAGATGGAAAGAATAGTGCAAACCAACAAATTTGATATGTACTGGAAATTGCAAATAAATTCAGCTTAGTTCAATGAGTAAAAGTACGTAATGATAGAAACACAAGTTAGTTTAATCAGGTGTGCTAACAACCTTTTTATACGACATGAAGAAATTTAGACTTTCTTTGTGCTGTCGCACACTGGAAGATGTCAACCTAATCATTTTTATTTTAGAAAAGTAACTCAGGAGGAGAGAGAGACATATTAAGATTACTGGGAGATCAGTGGGGAAAGTTAAAAGTAACAGAGAATAAAGGCTAGAGTTAAACCAGTGAAGTGAGCAATGACAATCCTCAAGTATTTTAAAACTAGGTGTTTAACAGCCTAGCCCATATCAGATTCTGTGTTAAGCACCAGAGGACACTCTGAGCACAAGGAAGTACTACTGGTGAGAACAAGGAAGAACTGTCAGGCCTGCACCCTCAGGCTAGCAAAGGACATCAGAGTGGCCTTGCCCAATTCTCCCTCAGCACAGCTAGGTGTGGCCCCTATATAACAAACAAACTGCTTACCAGAACCAGAACAAGTTACACTAATCTATATGCAGTCATGTGTCATTATATGCTGGTGGTCCAACCATGCTCTATCATAACCCTATGTCTGTAGTATGCTACAGCATTGCAGTTTTGTAATCACAAGCTGACATTCGTACAACACTGAAATCCCCTAACTGGGCTTTGGACATTTTCCAGAAATCCCATGACTGCAACATAAGTCAATGCATTTTTCATGCATTTTTTTCCCCTGACCCTGCAGTTTCAAATAATATCCATGTTGAAAAAAAAAAGGCATTGATTTTTATCTGTCCCAGTAACATTCCTTTGTTACTGTGCAACAAATGGAAGTTTGAATAAAAATACATCTACTACATACTGAAGTAGCACCACCAAACAGAAAACAAATGTGATTATTTGAAATTTCAAGCAGAAATAGCTACTCTTTAGGTATCACTCTTCTTATTCTTTTACATAAAAAGCTGATCTGGCTAATTTTTTTCAAAATCAAATAAAAGAAGTCTCTTACAAGGGAAAAATGAAAGTATTTGCTGCCAATGATAAAATTCCTGTGTTCAATAAACATCAGACATTTTGCAAACTTTACTTTGATTGCTTTCCTTGTTACACTTTTCTTGTTAAAATGGTGATATTCGAACAAATGGAATGAAAAATTCCGTGTAATATGCCAATATTTGGAATATCTGTATAGCTCAGCAAATCACTAAGTCCAAAGTATTTGCAGAAGTGAAAAGAGATGGAGCAAGAGAGAGAAACCAGGAGGTAAGGTACTTGCCTTGCATACAGCTGAGTCTGGTTTAATTCTCAGCACTGCATACAGTCCCCAGAGGACTGCCAAGTGTCCATTCCCATGCACAGAGCCAGAGATAGCTCTTGAGCAAAACCAGTGTGGACTAAACAGTAGTGCCCCCAACAAAACAAAAAGGCAAAAGGAGCCCTTGAAAAATTATGGTATCATGGATTCAAGGTGAGAAATTCTTTAGGAAATAGTTATCAAAATGAAATATCAAAGAGATAGAATTATCTAAGCTTAACAAAAAAGTAAAAAATAAGACCTTGTTAAATATTGAACAGGAGACAAGGAATATTCTATATACATGTATACACACACACATACACACGTGTGTATACACTTTTTAAAGTTGGTCAAAGGAAGAAAAACTAAAGAATGGTATTCAGATGATGTTTATGGAGGTGCTTACATTTTCAAGTTTGGAGGGATGGTACTGGAAAACTAGAATTAATTTAGAATTCGACTAAACTAGAATTAACTGTCTACATTTTGTGTCACAGTATGCCAGACATTTATGGGAGGAGATAAGGAAAAGACAGGGTCAAAGAAGTACAGGAAGACTCTCTTTAAATAGTAGGGAGAGGGCCAGAAAGATAAAATAGTGATTAAGCTATGTCTTGCATGCAGAAGATCTTGGTTAAATCCCTGGATCCACATGATTTCCTGAGTACTGCTAGGGGTAACACTTTTGAGCACAGAGCTGAGGGTAGCCCCCAGGCATTGCTGACTTGGTCCTAACTGCCACCCCCCTACCCCCCAAAATAAATACCATGGAGATCAGAAAGAATATAACCCACAGGTTAATCTGAATGACAGTGGAAGTGGGGATCATTTGTTGCAAACATTACTACATAAACCAATTAACAGACTGGGGGCTGGAGAGATAATAAGGGGTATGGTGCTTGCATGCACAGAGTTGACCTAGATTAGATTCTTGGAACTGCCAGAAGTGATCCCTGAGCAGAGTCAGGAATAAGCCCTGAACACCACAGGTATGGTGCAGAAAAACAAAATCAATAAGTCTGGTCACTTTTCTATTATGATTCTGACTTCTGACATAGATTTCACATAATCCAATTTATCTTAATGTTTGTTGAATTACTTTCAGGTTACGTAAGATTGACCAGTTTGTGGGTTATCTTTGATGTAATCTAGAAATTCAATTGTTAATTAACAACTCTGCTCAATGATTTTCTAAAGAGAAAAAAGTCTTTGATAGTGACTGTATACCAACTTTGACTATTTTGGTCTAGGTGAAATATAAGACAGTGATTCATTTACTAAATATACAATGTAATGAAAATCATTTCACAGAAGGGTAAAATTGAAATGTATCTGATAAATGAACAAACTACTTGACTACCTCCCTCATTCCTGATATTTCAACTGGAAGAATGCAATTCAAGGCTAAATTGAGTTTCTCATGTCAAGAGCGAAACAGCATATTTCTATTACAGAAACTTAACAACATACACAGAAGCTTGAAGCAATATCAAACAATTGAAACACAGAAAAGTCTGA